AGGTGGGTGAATATATGATGTTTGGGTGTTACTATATTCTGTTGATCAGGTTGGGATAATAAAACGTGAAGCACAAATGCAGCGGTTGATGAGAGAAGATTTAGAAACTGAAGTGCAATCCCTACGACATGAGATCACTCTGAGAACCGGGATGATTGCAGCGTACGACATTTGTTTGCATTTTAAACGTGACATGTTACTGTAACAACTTCATTGTTACAGGAAGAAAACAGACGAAGAAGCAATCCTGAAGCTAAAGGAAGAAATTGCCAAGCTTTCTGAAGATTGTTTCGAGAAAGAGTCACAGGTAAAGGAATTCTTGATCTCACGTCGTAACATCTTTTATCTACAGATCCAGGCGTACAACAAGCATATTTCAGATCTAACGACTGCCTCCACCAGACAAGCATCCCACTATCAACAAAAGGTACGTCAACCCCCGTGCTCTCTATAGCTGGCTCTAATCGGTAACGGGACATGTTAGATCAACGAGCTGGAAACGTTTTTGGATCAGGCAAAAGCGACGAAAACAAAGGGGTCGAGCTCACCATTCAAGTGCATAGGGAAAGGTCTTTCGCAGCAGATGAACTCAGAGTTCGACGAAGAGCTATCTGCAGCAAGGCACCGTATCAGCGAACTTGAAACTATCGCTGCCGGCCGACAAAGAGAGGTGTTTATGCATCATTTTTGTTTCTCTAAATGCGAGGCTTTTTTTTTGTCTTTGACAGGTGTACATGCTAAACTCGAGGCTTGCAGAAGCGGAAAGTATGACACATGATGTCGTCAGAGACCTTCTTGGAGTTAAAATGGACATTACAAATTACGCTGTGAGTGGCGTTTTGGCATAGTGTGAGGTGCTTACCTACTTTTCAGTCGCTACTTGGCCAGGATCGTTTTCCAGATTCGTCAAACCATGAGGTAGGTGGTCTGTTTTTTTCTGTGCAATGTCAACTTTTATGTTTTGCTTCAGAACGTTCAACTCTTGCAAAAGCAACCTGAGGAGTATATTGAAGAACGGGATAGGTTGTATTCTATTTCTTTGTTCATTTGGATCCTGATATTTAGTCTGTTTACAGTTGTCTTGACGAAATAGACCACCGTCAGAATGAAGTTGCTGCCATTCGTGTAGCAGCTGAGAAGCTCCGGCTGCGAGAGCAAGCGCTAAACAGTGAGAACGAAAAACTGAAGGTACGTGAAACGTCATTTAATGGCAGGCAATGGTGTTTGGTACAGGGAGAACTTGATGCATTCAAAAAGCACAAGTCTGGTTTAGAGAACGAGGTACGGAAGCTATCCGGACAACAGAACCTTCAGCAAAGAATTCATCATCATGCCAAGATCAAGGTTTAAATTCTTCAGAAGGGGTCGGTCTTATGTTGATATCGTGCAGGAGGAAAACAATCTGCTAAAAGCTAAAAACGATGAGCTTTCGACTAAGCTTCGAAACATGGAAATACGTTTGAGTCGCGTCCATGAGGAACTTGACCAACATCGTGACGCAAATGGGAAGCCACGATATGAGGTTGAGCAGCAACTTCGCAGCAAACTAAAGGTATCATCGTTTTCTTTATCCACATTGAAGTAACGATTTTCTGCTTTACAGGAGGCCGAAGATGATAATCTCCAAATGGCCGAAGAGTTATCAAACATGTGCAAGAAGATCATGCAGGTAAAACGTCCCAGCTAATCCAGCTGGAGGTTCTGAAAATTTATCTGATAGGTTTCGGGCGCTTATCACACTGAGGGCCATGTGGATACTTCAGTGGCATGGCAGTCATTGGAGATGCTTCATCATCAGCTCGCTGATAACCAGAAGCAGGTGGCCGACCTCAAGCATATAATAGCTGACTACCGTAGAGTTGTAGACCGTTAACAGCCAATTGGGATCCTGCGCGAGGGCAATGGTTCGCCTAAGTCTCTGGTGCGCTACGTCTTGCGCGCTGCTATTGGTTATCTAGAAAATTCTTGAGCAATGAAAGTTGCGATTTTGATGAAGCTCTTGCTGCTCACAGGTAGCAGAACAACTGTACACTTTGTGCTAGACACTACAGGAAATGTACTGGCTGGCTTTCTGCGAGTGTGGCCGAAGTCCCAAGAAGCGTTACAGATAAAGAACTTTTTTTTCCCAATGTTGGTTACTGTACACTCGCAACCATTGCTGAGCGACTTGGTATCGATTCGTCAGACATTGTTGATACGCTCAGCTGAGGCGCCACCAGTGGGTCAGCGTTCTATATTTTGTAGAACTGCTTACTTCAACAAAAAGTCGGAAGTTTTGTTACGCGTGAGTCAAGCAAAGTCAAGCACTAAGAACTAGAATGGCTTTCACGAACTTGCAAATAAATTGCTGAACACTTGAAAAGTTGAACACATGCAATTCAGGGCATTCAGTTTCAAGAGTTGAAAATTGCTTAGTAATCCCTCGTCCCTTTCGAATTGGTTTTTGTCCGGTAATTGAAATTACATGGCTAATCTAGAATCTATGATCACGACGAAGATACATAGGATCACAACGTAATTCATTTGACACAGCCATTAACAAGTATGTTCTGTATTGTAATGGCACAATCAAACTGAGTTTTCTAACAACGGATGAACGCTATATGGAGCATTATGTTCTTCTATATTAAAGTGTCACAATATCATTTCCAGTAAACTCAATTGTATAAACAAAAGATAGAGCTTTTAGAAGTAGCCTTCGGACTCTTCTTTGGCAGCAGTCCGAGAAATCAGAAGGTTTTCATTTCCATCTTGTGTAGCAAAGGTTCAGGAGAGTAAAAATTTAACCTCAAGCTGCATTCTTGAAAGCAATGAAGTTCCCTCACATTCCAGGCCTACATGCGACTGCGTTTATACTTTCCACAGCTGGACTTCCATGCGCTTAACACAGCGGCGATCCATCAAAGGCCACACTAACAGGATCTCATCCAAGCCATTAACCCAGCTTTTATAGGACATCTATCTATCTATCTCCAGTCAAGTGCTAGGCAAGCATATTTATGTTGTTGGTGCTATAAACCGCGCTGGCCATCTGGACGAGGTATCTGCGTACCCCGCAAATCCCGACCACTTCAAATTATCTTGTAGTGCATAGCTCGTCCATGTCTCCTCTTTGCTTTTCTGTGATCTTCTACAGTGTCCTCTGCTATGATGGCTACGTGTCAGGGAACCATAACAAGTTCTGTCGCCATATATTTCATACGCTCCTTAGCATTTGATTGAAGAACTGAATGCAAAAATTCTCCTTATAAAGCATGTGAATATCTAAAACCAGAGCGTATTATAACGACTGTACCCGTCCGTGAAACTATACAGCTTATAATCTACCACCTCGTTAAGCACCGCATCAGTAAACGATCATTGAAATTTGTCTCAGCTTCTGACAATTCACACGCACCCGGAGCTTGCCATTTTCTTCATCCAATTCTGTCGTCTCAACTTTGTAAGCCAGCTTTGACGCTTGTTTCCGAACAGTCTTGGAGTACATTGGATACATTTACAGAGCACTGCTTCTAGATGTAGATGAAAACGGTGTTGAGCAACCTGGATGTCAACTTTGCATAAGTCGAAACGCTTTCAAGAGCCCGAGATATCGTCCCTGAAATTTGAATAGCTGTCAGCTGAATAGCACACTTGTTCTCCAGTACAGATGCTCCAAAAAGCGGACAAGATGTGAAGCTAAATCCTGATCAACACTCTCGTTCAGTATACCAAAGGTGCTTTTTGTTGCGAATCTGGACCTTGTTGGTACACTAAGCGTATCTGGCACTCTACTGCCATGCCTCCGTACCAAAGGTATTCTAAGTGGTAATATTCATCCTGAATAACAACTTTGACGTCCCCGACCTTTCCCACCACGAGAGAGATACACCAACACCAACAGCTTACCGTGCCAGTAGATCCCAGTCTGAAATGGTAACCCGCAGCTCCAAATGTATCCCACTATATCTCAAAGTTCCAGTACCGATACTTACATGGATCGTGGGCCTCCAATTCCTGATTATGGAGCGATGAGATCCAATCCATGGCCCAAAGTTGACGCCCCTGATCGCCTGCCCTGCTGATAACGGAACTACCATCCTGACGGCCAGAATCATGGCCATCACGACAGGGAAAAGAAAATCAAACTTTTATTTATCCTCTTCAGCACTGTAGCCTCACGCCCTTCAGCATCTTTAACTGTCAAAAGTGTTGGCTGCTAAAATCAAAAGTGCCCGTCCGTAGCCAATGCGTCCCAAGATCTGCTCTGAAGGCACCAGCAGCCGCTGTAGAAAATGCAAACTGCCTGCCACATTTAAAGTGAACTAATAGTCTTAAGATTTAGGGACTCTTTGATGCATAGAGTTCTGGTCTTTGTTCTAAGTTTTGGTCCTTTGTGGCGTTTTAAGTTTGTTCAAGTTAAGGAGAACGAAAAGTTTCTTACCAGCGGCCTCTCGTGATTCTCTGTCATCTCGTTTCTCACATGCTTTCACATTCTGACCATGCGTCCTTCTGCACATGTAAAACTTTTTGCGCTATGGCCTTGTTCTGCCAGGAAAGTCGTTGCTGATTAAGTTACAAAAGCTGGTTGTACACACCATAAAATGAAATGTATACCGAGTTTATATGGCATATAACATATTGCACCACATATATCGAAAAAAATTCGTCTATACTTCAAGGAAACCTGTTAACGACGTTGGGAATGACACTTTTGAAGACTCACGGGAATGACACTTTTGCTATGTTCTACAACTGATCAAAGCAAACTTCAAAGCGATTAACGTACGAACAGATTTTCTTTTATTTTCCGATCTGCAATCAATGAGAGATTCTGTTGTGTCTGTTCTTCGACCTGATAAGGTGGAGCTATGCGTTGATTTTTGTCCAGCTGCTCAAATGCATCGCAGTCTCAAAGTTAAGGAAGTTGTACTGAGCTCCCGTATCCTTGCTGCCAGTCCCTCTATATACGTATCAATACTTACATGGCTCGGGAACCCCTTCAATTCATATAAAATATAATCGTCTGCAGAACATAGGAAAGGCATATTCAGCAAGGTCCCGGATGTTTATCTCTTCTCAACGAGCTTGCAAAACATTTTTTATTTGGCGATGCCCATATAACATTTTTCCGATCTGCAATCAATGACTTCCCATCCCTTCACATGAGGGATTCCCCATCTTGCGTCTGTTTTTCCACCTCATCTGCTATGCGAGGGTTAACTTGAGATCTTGTCCTGGACATAAATATTACCATTGTCTAAAAAGCTTAGCAGAAGTTCATAAACAGTGCCTTACCTTGATTCCTTGCTTCTCAGTGCACTGCATCTCACGTCTTCTTTTGCCCCTCCACCAGTGTATGTGAGACCGTACCACACTATAAGATTGTTGCTTTTGAGAGACAAACCGTCGTTCCCAGAGCTAAATTTTCAGAATTGCCGTTATCAATGAACTATGTGGAATGATGAGCTCACATCAGAAAAGAAAAATACCTGGCTATTACATGTAGAGAAAGATTTCCAAGATGCATTCAAGTATTATCTGCAGAAAGAGAACAAAGAATCATAGGATCCAAAAACGTACAAACGAAGACAAATGGCCGCAACAGGCGCAATACGATTTCCTCCACCACAGGTTTGTTTCGCTTTCGTCTGAAGGCACAAGACCCTTCCAAATCTGAAAGAGGAGCAAAGTAAACCAAAAGCATGGCTGTTTTGCTGCGTTGTAACTTTAAAAGTGACTGGCAACTCGCGGATGTGTTGTGCAGCTGCTTGACTACATTAGTCGAGTGGAGGCGTGACATGACCAACCATTTAACAAGTGGCAACTGAGCTTCATGACTTTGACAAAATGCAGTAACATCATCCCGACTCTGCAATGAAGTTTGTCAAGCCAAAGTTAGAATATGAAAAATCGGTCGGCTCTTCCGCTATCTATATATAGGTACACTAGTTACGCGCGTCGATAGGCAGATCGAGATCCGTAGCGTAGCGTAGAGGGTTAGTAGCGCTTGAGCGACTCGTATCTGCAGCTGTTGAGCGCGGCAGTGACGTTGTCAAACTCGGAGAGGACGGAGAGGTAAGGTATGAGCTCAAGCAGCTCTCGGTCCCTGGGGTTGTCAATAAAGGAGGTGATGGGCACGGCATTCTGCGGCTGCAGTGCGTACGAGTGGGGGCTGTTGTCCACGATGATCACCTTGTGCAGGTCCCGGCCCAAGATGGACAGGTCCTTGACGAGGCCCCCGCCGTAGAGCCTACACGACTCTCTGTAGAGGCGGTGGCGGATGGCCGAGTAGTAGTCGAGGCGGTCCACCAGCGGGTCTGCGTACTTTTGCAGGCTGGCGGTGAAGAGCACCACCTCGAACTTGTCGGCCATGGCGCGCAGGAACTGCTCCACGCCCGGCCGCTTGACGACGTAGACGGTCTGGAGCTTGTTGTCGATGTCTACTCTAATGGTGAAGTCGTACCTGGGGATGGGCACGAAGGACGAGTGCACCAGCGTCTCGTCCAGGTCGAGGACGAGCGTCACCTTGTCGCGCTCCTGAGGGGCCAAGGGAGGAATGCCACACTCGCCGTGGATGGGCAACGAAACGGGGCTCGGGGGCACGTAGCACTCGCAGTCGTCCAGAGAGTCGTGCAGGCTGCTGCTTTCGGCCAGGCTCGACGACAGCTCCAGCCTCGCCGCCGCCGCCTCCCTCGACGTGCGGACCAGCCGGTCCTGCATTGCTGCCCGCCATAGCCGCGCATTAGACATCTATTTCAGCAGCAAGTTGGGCACTACTACAGCCTCTCCCCGCCCGCCATCTTTTCGCTCACCTCGCGCGCGCGCGAGATGATTTCATGCAACAAGAAAAATATTGGCCACCTTTGCCCTAAAACAGATATCCACCGTCGGCAACGCTTGGGCCACGTAGGATGCCCGTTCTGTTTTTGTTTTCTACATTTTCTACAGTAAATACCAGTACACTGTAGCTATTCAGGCGGCGGAGGAGGAATGCTGGCGCTGCCGCTGCCGCCGTTGTGTGCACCCTGGCCAAGCCAAACGAATGAGAGAAGGAGCAGGCACAAGAAAGAAAGAAATCCAACCTCGTCTTGCACGTTGAGTTGCTTATTCAGCGAATTCCGAAGGTCCTGAAACTCCTGAACCACCACACAAGCTTTTTCGTAAAACGACAGAAATAAAAAGATGAAAATGCTATACTTACACTCCTCAGCTGCTCCACTTCCGAGTTCAATGTGCTGCGGAGCTCTCCAAGCTCCTGAGCATTTCATTCGTGAGGTGATCGTCATGGATGAGAGAAACAATACCTCGCGGTAGTTCTTCACCTGAGAATCCAGCTTCCCCCGCCAGTCTTGCAAGTCCTGCCAGTGCCACCCCCCCACATAATGAGCCAAGCCCGCTGCAATCAATGTCTACCTTCTTGAGGTTCTGGACCCGAGCAAGCAGCTCGGCTCTCGACTTGTTGATCTCCTGCCCCGCCCCCCACACACAACACGGTCCATGAATACCAGCACAAGATCTAGCTAGGAGAGCACTCACAGAGACGGGATCACCATCGCGCTCAGCAGTCGTCGCCCCCTCCTCGCCATCGCCCTCTCCAAGAGCCTTCCAGTAAGGCACAAAGCATCGAGATCAAACACGCAGAGCACAGAGCAGCGCATACCTTGGGGAGATCGCTCCTGTCCATGTCGTGCTGCTGTTGTTCGTTGTGAGTGTGTGTGTGCGAGAGAGAGAGAGAGAGAGAGAGAGAAGAAAGGGGGGCGGCAAACCTGTGCGAGAGCAATAGAGTCGTGGCGCTCCTCCTCCATGGCCCTAGGTAGCAGCTATAGCTGCTGTAGCTGTAGCTTCTTCCCTTGCTCGTCGTCCTGGATGGGTCTCGAACCCCAGACGAGAGCCCAGGAAATAACTCGGTTTTGTTTTGGATTTGTTAGCCATTTTAAAGGGGCGCCATCCGAGTGGAGCGCCGGGCGGTGTAGAATTACATGGTTGGGGAGGTGCTGCTGCCGCTCAAACACAGACAATCACTCGCGTCGAGTCGGTCAGTCAGTCGCTTGGCCGATCAGCAGCAGGCGCAGGAGCGCCATCTTTCTTGGCCAGATGAAACGCCCGACTCACCGTCGAGTGCAGCTGCTCCTTGGTCAGCGACACGTGTTCCCGCATCTGCATCACCACGAAATATTGTGTAAGGCAAGCGCATGGAATGCGAGAGTGGGCGAGAGAGAGAGAGAGCTTGCTTGCTTTGGTACCTTGACAATGACGGTGTGGAGGAGGTGGTGGCGGTCGAGGCTGGAGATGCTGGCGTGCTCCACCTGGAGCTGGAGCTCGTCTTGCAGCGTGACGAGGAGGTTGGCGACGGGGTAGCTGTCCTTGGGGCACTTGACGCGCACCAGTGCCTCCGATCCCACAAGGTGCACGTAGACGTCCGGCTGCTGCTCCCGCTCCTTGTAGCGCGACCGCACCTCCGACTGCGTGTCCAGCACATCGCCGCCGGCGCTGGCACTGGGAGAGGTGGCCAGGCTACTCTGCTTTCCCAGGAGCCTCGTCGCATCGTTGGTGTTGGTAGCAGCAGCAGCAGCAGCAGCAGTAGCAGCAGCGGCAGCATGAGTAGCATGACGAGACGACGCCGACGACGCGTGGAGCTGCATCTCCTTCATCTGTGTTTCCAAGTTTTGGACCTTGTCCCGCAGCTCCTTGATGTACTTGATGGCGTCTTCCAGCAGCGATGCTTTGTCCATCTAGAAAAGAAGCATTGTAGACTCAGCGCATAAAGAACTGGCAGAGAATTGCCTACCTTGGAAACGTTTGGAACCACCGAGCGCAGCGCGTAGAAGCGCTGGTTGAGCTTCTCCCGCCGTTGCCGCTCCGCCTGGACGTGATTCAAGGGCTCCTCGCGGTCGTTTGCAGGCTTCCGGCCACGCTTCCTTGGAGGCTTTTGCACCACGTTGAGGCTGCAGTCTGCCGCTTCTCTAAACGACACCTCCGCTTCCGAGTCCAGCTCCTGCTCCGTCTCGATGCTGGAGCGCGGTGGATTCATCAGAGCTGCCACCGTCGCCTCCGATTGCTGCTGCTGCTGCTGCTGCTGCTTCATGCCTCCTGGCTTGGGACCCGAGCTCTTGCTGGCTGCCTCCCTCAAGTACGTCATGCTTGCCGCTTGCTTTTGCTGCTGCTGCTGCTGCTCGGCCACCCTGCGGCTCTTGGAGTCCATGGACGTGACAATCTCACTACTCTCCGCTACAAACGCCTGGAACTTGTTGCTGTGGCCGGGCCTGATGCTCCCACCACCTTTGTTGCTGGGTGGTGCCCCGAGCTGGAAAAAGTGCTTGTCGTCGTACGACTTGGATGAGTACGGGGGCAGGATGACGGGCACGCTCTCTTTGTCGCTGTCCAGGCTTGGCATGTCGTAAGGGTCGGACGAGTAGAAGTACTCCATCCCGGTGCTGCTGCCCAGGGCCGAGGAGCTAAGCTTGTCCGGATAGGACGCCTTGAGCGACGGGTTGAGGTGTGCGCCACGCTCCATGCCCGAGTTGACGGTGATGCTGCTGGAGCTGGACAAGGGGCCAGAGAGGAGAATGCTCTCGTATGCTGAAGCCTGGTGATGATGATGCTGTTGCTGCGGTTGCTGCTGCGGCTGCTGCTGCGGCTGCTGCTGCACATCCGCCACCTGGAATGTACCTGGCTGCTGCTCCTCCTCAAAGTATCTCCTTATGTCTTGGAGTGTCCGCGAGCACTCGTTAACCTGCGGCACCACATATATCATCTCCAACAAAGAGAAGCGAAAAACACGAAAGCTTACGATTTCGGTGGATCCCAGCTCCACAACTCCGTTTCGGGTGGGAACACAGACGATTGTCTGCAGCGTGGAGTACGTGAGAGATCTATACAACATGGCCAGTTCAACTTTTTGTTACCTGAATTCCTGCGCTCTGGGCACAAGCACAGAGGGGAGGAGTGAAGTCAGCACGCAATCTTGGAGCACAAGAAAAAAGAATACGTTACCTTGGCAAGCTCCAGTCGCGCACACTGGAAGTTAATGGGCTTGACAGTGTCGCAAATCCATATGTGCTGCCCAAACTGGAACGCCCGCCCTGGAATGCTGCGAGTTCTCCTGGAGCTTATCAGCCTTGGAACAAGACAAGAAGCGTGTTTCTACGTACCCTTCACCGCAGGGGAAATTCCACGACATGGAGAGGAGATAGAACCACTCCTGGTCGGTGACATGGTCCACCTCTCGGAGGTCCTCCTCGGGATGGCACAGGTCGTGGAGCTCGCGGAGGACCCTGCGCCTGAGAATTTGGTCGGCATCGAACTTGGCCTCGTTCCGCTGGGTACTGTTCTCGTTGGTGGAGAAGTAGCCGTCGCCCCAGCCCAGAATCCTGGAGTGAAGTGAGCCCTTTTAGAACCATGGCAGATGATGCTAGGTGATGCTACGGGGGGGGGAGAGAGAGAGAGAGAGCTTACATCTGGCCGTCGGCGCTGGAGAGCTGCCAGAAGATTGCATACGTCCAGCAGCAGAGGGACGAGTTGTCGACGAGCAAGGTGAGCTTGTGCTGCAGCGCCGTGTCCGCAAACGTGCTCTGGATGCCCCCCCCTCCGCCCACCTCCTCCTGGAACGGATTGAAGTCGGGGCTAGAACCCCCTAGAAAGGACGAGAAATCGAAATCCATTCCCCCTCTCCCTCTCCCTCTCCCTCTTAGAGCTGCTACAGGAAGAACACACAAATCTCGCGCAGCATCCCCCAGATCTAGCAGCGGACAAGCTCCCAATCAATCTTGCGCTGCCTGGAGCTCCTCTCTCCTGGGCACTGGGGGCACACAAAGAGGGAGCTCTTCTGACTTGGTTGCGATGAGAGAAGCAAAAAAACAAGCGCGTGCTGCGAAAGGAGTGGAGGTCGCGCGGCGCACGCCTTCCATATGTAAATAATGGCCCCCCTCTCTCTCTCGCTTAGGTAGGTTTAAAGGGCCACATTTTCCATTTACCCAGCTGCCTCAAATTGGCGTGAAAACCACGTGCTCAAACACGTTGTCGCGGCCCCACCCCACCTTTTTTTTTTCCCTTTTATCCCTGGCCCTTGTTTCCTCCTTGCTCGCTCCACGCCTCCAAGCTTATCCCTTGGGCACCGTCACGTTGAGAATTTTCACGTCCTGGTATGGCTTGTCGCTCTTGTCCGTCTTCACCTTCTCGATCGCCTGTTTTTTACGTTCACAAAAACAAATCAATGCCAACACGAGGAGAGAGCGAGAGAGAGATGGGCTTCTCTCTACACAACAACGCTGTTGTTGTTGTTGTTGTTGTTGTAGCAATTGCTTTTTACCTGCACGACATCCATGCCTTTGACGACGCGGCCAAACACGGTGTGCTTGTTGTCCAGCCACGGTGTCGCCACTGTCGTAATAAAAAACTGCGACCCGTTGGTGTTGAGCCCCGCATTCGCCATGGACACGGTAAACGGGCGATCATGTCGAAGGCTGGTGGACAAAAAAGGCAAAGCACGCCACAAACGTGGTGCTATTTGAGCACACAAGAAACACGACAATGATGCAAGCTCGCCTACCTCTTGTGGAACTCGTCTTCGAATTCACCCCCCCAAATTGACTGCCCGCCTGTGCCGTCTCCCAGCGGGTCGCCCGTCTGGATCATAAAGCCTCTGATCACCCGATGGAATATCAGGTTGTCGTAATAACCATTCCGACAGTGCGTAGTAAAGTTCTCCACGGTTCTCGGGCATTCCTCGGGGTAGAGACGTATGTGAATGTCTCCCAAGGTCGTATGCATCATCTGGAGAAAACAATTCAGGCCTCGCCATCAATTCCGAACATAACATACATACCACGTTCAGGGGCAAGGAAGTAGTGGTAGCCTTGCCAACGTCCGATATTGCCAGCAACTCCTCAGGCGGGGGTTTCTCGTTGAAGACATCCCGGCCCTTGGATGCATCCTCTGCTTCTTCAGGCTCCCTCCGGCTACAGATCACAGAATGGCTTTAGCGTAAAGCGAGTGCACAGCATTGCCTACCTGAAAATATAGAAACGGTGCTTTTTAAATGCGCAGCAGATGAGGGTTGGATCTGTCACGGACTCCTTCTGGTCCACAGCATTGGCACCAGCAGCGGGAATCTTCTTGACCTTTTTGACGCCGCTTCCCCCTTGGTACAGCGCAATTCTTAAAAACCTTTCCGTGTTTTCCACCTTACCAAGGATTCTCGCCACTTTGTTGGTGGACAGATTGACAACCTTGGATAAACTTCAACAAATAAGTAAAACGCGCATCACATGGCGGAGTGAGAGTGACTTACCTTAACTCCCAAGAGTGTTGCATAAAGCAAAAAGTTGCCACTCTCGTCGAAGATTGCGTTGGCGGGTGGGACGTTCTCCGCTTTCTCAATTTCCTTCTCAACGGCCATGCGGCGCCCGAAGTCAAAAGCATCTAGCCGGCACAGTGGCTGGTCACTTCTCTGCAAATCTTGTGCGACCTGGAAACATTTCCCACGTCAGTATGAAGCATCTAGAATTGGGAACCGATTCAATCATATATACCTCCAGTGATTCATCAAAGGTCCGCCTCAGTTTACCTGTTTTAAATCTAAACACGCGGATGCGCCTATCTGGTGACGACGTCACAAATTGTAGCCCGTCCTGACTAACCTGCAAAGGAGAAAAGGTCATCTTTACATCCGAGTGATGAACCACAAGATAAACTCACCTCCAAGGCAGACACTGTTGTTTTACATTTTGCTAGAGTGTACAGATCAGTTTCAGTTTTATACTTGAAATTCACACTGCAAGCAACAAACGAAACCAGTTAGCTTGCTCGAGCCTGTGTTTTCACTTTTTATGACACTTACACTTTGTAAGGGAACTCCATGGTTTTTGTCAACCAATACTCAATCATTCCTTTGTCGTCGATCGAGACGACGGTATCGAATGCCGGGATAAACTTCATCAGTTTGACAGGGGAGCCATGCACCTGCAAAGCCCCATAAGAGAATGAGAGCCCATACTTGACAACTGGTATGTACGTACCTCGTTGGAAATCAGAGGGTCGTTGCTCCCAGAACGAGCATCAAAAATGTGAACAGCAGGCGTCGCTCTGTCACTAATGGCAAGCTTTGAGTCGGTGCTTCCTTGCTTGACAACCCACTCAGCCGCCCCGGGAACAAAAGAGAGCCGCAGCATTGAAATCATGTCGTAATTGACAACATCGTAGATTTTCGCGGAGCGATCGTTCGATATAGTACAACAGAGAAGGCCGTCTGCGCTCACCTGGAGAACCCAAAGACAGAGTGAGAAAGAAGGGCAAGACAAGCAAGATACAGTGACACAAGTGCTTACTTACAGCCAGTCCTTCAATGGGGCCAACATGGGAGCGAAAGTGCTTCACAAACTCCACTCCAGTTCCTTTCTTCTTCCAAAACTTGAGATGCCCTGTGGCAGAGATCGGGATAAGTGTCGCTCATTCCCTTTCGTTGCTCACTTACCGTCACAGCTACCAGTGATGAAGAAATCGGCGACGGACACCGCGACGTGCGTGACGACGTCCCTGTGCATGAAGCTCTTCTCGTACCTGGACGCAAAGCGGTGAGCCGCAAAGACGAAAGAAATCTGGTGCTTACATGGCGGCACAGGGCAACGCATCCAGGAATGCGTGCTCGAAGTCGAGCGGGCGCTTGGGCTTGCGCGTAGGCGCGGGGGCTGGGCCGGGCGCCGGCGCAGCATCGCCCTCCTCCTCCACATCCATTCTTCCGCCCTAGAAAGAAAACTATATGTATCAACCCTAAATATTTGTCGCGTGTTTAAATCACAAAAACGTGCTTCACATTTATTTCCCTTCGGTCTCCCCGGGAAAGCTCCACGCCGCGTGGTCGTCGCACAAGAACAAATACCTTTCCTGGTGGCGAATGGCGATGGATTAATCACAGGGAAAGAAAGAGCCTGAGGAGAGAGATTACCGTCTCCCATCGGCCTTTGGTTTGGGCTCGACGAGCGCAGCCATAGTGGAAGCTCTTGCGGCACTTGCTCAAGTAGCATCCCAGCGCGGCGCCTCTGGAGCCACAGGCATGGCACTTGAGCTTGCTGGCTCTCCCAATCTCCGACTTGACATTGCGTATTTGCTGATCACCGCCCTCCTCTCCCCCATCACCATCGCCTATGTAGTAAACGTTGGGAGCCCTGCGTGATCAAGAATGGATCATCATCCGTGCACGACAGATGCTGATACGTACCACTCGGCACAACGAAGGTGGACGTGCACGGCTGTCGGGCGATCATGGCAAGCTTCTCCTTGATGGCAAGATGTGGCTGGGATCAAGCTCCGGTTCCGATATTCCATGAGCGGCCCTGCCTCCTAAAAGCACACCAAGTTTACCCGAAACTTCTGTGTCATGTATCAAAGAGAGAAAAAAAAAAAAGAATGCTACCTCTGAATCGCCACTGGCTTGGCAGAAGCGGCACGACCAGGAGAGATCATTCTCCTGCTGTGCTGTGACCGTCCTTGGATCTGGATCTGGCGCATCCGTTTCAAACACTTCCTCGCGCTTGTTGCTGTTGTTTTGCTCAACCTCTGGGACGGGCTTCATTGTGTTGTTCTTGGCGTCCGATTCGTCTTGGTGGAGCAAGAGAGATGTGAGGAGCTGCTCCTCCCCAAACTGGAAGGCTACCACGCGTTTCTTGGCAGGAAGCAATGGAATCCCGCAGAAGCGCTCCCTGACGGTGCCGGCGCTGCTGGCCGCTGGCCGGAATCTCTTCTTGGGCGGGCAGCAGCTCAAGTTGTAGAGCGGCGCCTCGGTGGAGCAAACCGTGGATTGCTGCTGCACTGGAAGAAGAAAATGTAATGCGCCATGAGATCTATGAGGAGGGAGGAGATTTACCTGGGCGAGCTTCCATGGCGAGCGAGAGAATGCTAGAGCGTGGACGACGATGCCCTAGGGTCGCGTTGAGAGCGCGCGCGCGGTTTCGATTTTTCTTCTTTCCCGCCTTATGCGACGCAATTCAAGCGAGGTCATATGAAATGAAAGAGCAGGCAAAAAGTTTAGGGTTTAAGGAGGAGATGGTGGTGGTGGCGACGGGCGCCCTCCCTGCTCCCACGGGATTAGGGCTTGGGCGCAGCAGCAGCAGCAGGGAGAGGAGGAGGACGAGGAGGAGCAGCGGGCAGATCCGCGCGGTATTGCAGTGGAATCGGCGGCCGGAGCTGGCTGGGAGCCGACCCCGGGTTGTGGTGGTGACATCGGGCAAAGGCGGCGTGGGCAAGACGACGGTGACTGCGAATCTAGGTATGTGCTTGGCGCGGCTCGACTTCAGCGTGGTTGCCATCGACGCGGACGTGGGGCTGCGCAACTTGGATCTGCTGCTGGGCCTGGAGAATCGCGTCAACTACACGGCAATGGAGGTGCTCAACGGCGAATGCCGGCTGGATCAAGCGCTGGTCCGCGACAAGCGATGGACAAACTTGGAGCTCCTGTGCATCAACAAGCCCCGCTACAAGATGCCCATGGGATTCGGCGGCAAGGCACTGACGTGGCTCGTGGACGCGCTCAAGCAGCGCCCCGACGGATGCCCCGACTTCATCCTCATCGACTGCCCCGCGGGGATCGACGCCGGTTTCATCACCGCCATCACACCGGCTAACGAGGCCGTGCTCGTCACCACCCCGGACATCACCAGCCTGCGAGACGCGGATCGCGTCACGGGTCTGTTGGAGTGCGACGATATCAAGGACATCAAGATGATTGTCAACCGGGTGAGGAGCGACATGATCAAGGGGGAGGACATGATGTCGGTGCTGGATGTCCAGGAGATGCTGGGCTTGCCGCTGCTTGGTGTCGTTCCAGAGGACTCGGAGGTGATCAAGAGCACCAACCGGGGGTACCCGCTAGTGCTCAAGAAGCCTCCGACTCTGGCCGGACTGGCATTGGAACAGGCGGCTTGGAGACTGGTGGAGAAGGACAGCATGAAGGCGGTGCTCATCGAGGAGACTCGACCCAAGAGAGGATTCCTGCCTTTCATGGGAGGCTAGCTCAGATCTGGTTTGTGTTCTTCTTTCAAACTTCTCCACTGTTGTTCTCACTCCTTCCCTCGCTCCCTGTGCAGCAGGGGAACGTCTTCTTAAGGTTGCGATTAAGTACCGGTAAATACACTGCCCAGGATGATGAGGAAGGGATTTTAAAGCACATTGGATTGGAGGCCAACAGATAATAAGTGGACGGTGGGCATGGCTTCGCGCGGCATGAATCGAGGTAAGCCTCCGGCGTCGCTGCAATGACAAGGCTGCCGACTATCCTCGGATGACTGCGTCTCGAATACAACTTCAAGGATGACTGCCGCAACCACGGCTCTGCTGTGCCAACAATGTACCACCGGTACACTTCAATCCTTCCATCATGGACTGAGCTGGGAATGGAGGCCCAGAAAGCGCATGGCTTCCGGCTTATCTCCCTCGCCTTCACCCTCCTGGAGGACTTGGAGAGCTGAACTTCCGCGGTCTCACAGGGGTCCTCTCTTCACTTCTAGCACCACCACCACCACCACGTCTACGCGTGCGTCCTCGGCTACGACAGGAACCACCGCCGAAGAGAAGGAAGAGCCAACCATCGACGAGCTCCTCACCAATCTTGAAAAGAGCGAAGCTGGGGCTTCTGATACTGCTGCTGGAACTCAGAGACGAAGACCACCGGCAGGTACGCCGTCAAGGATCACACGGACCTTCCCCGTGCAAGACGAGGACTTGGTTGCGGACAAGGTCCTGACTGGACGAATCAAGTCCATCATGACGTTTGGTGCCTTCGTGGATCTCGGTGCTAGAGTAGACGGCTTGCTCCACATTTCGAAGCTGGGTGAGGGGTTCGTCAAGGCTGTGGAGGACGTTGTACAGGTCGGGCAGGAGGTGCAAGTTCAGATACTCGAGGCGGACTTGCAGAATAGACGCGTGAAGCTCAAGCTGTACGATCCCACTCCCAAGCCAGAACCAACAAGAGCACCCTCTTCTGGTGCTCCGGCCACAGGCGGTCGAGAGGCCTTCCGTGGAAAGATTGCCGGAAGGGGTGCTCCAGGGGCAGCAGGCCAAAACCGACGAGCAGCGACTGACAAGCCGAAGACGTCAAACTACCAAAAGGGACAGGCTGCGACAGGTGTTGTCAAGAACTTGACAAGAAGAGGCTGTTTTGTGGAGCTCCCTGGAGGCGAAGAAGGCTTCATGCATGCGAATGAGATCAGCGTGGCCGGGGAGAATGTTCCCATTGAGACCCTCGTTAAAGTGGGACAGGAAGTGAAGGTGAAGGTGCTCCGCATCATCGAGGGAAGAATCAATCTGACCATGAAGGAAGAGCTGGACCTGAAGAAGGTGAATGAGGAGTTTAATGGAAGCATGACCGCCACCAACGCATTTGAGCTTGCTTTCCGAAAAAATGCTGCCATCAGGAAGTATTTAGAGGAGTCAGGGAGGCTTCCAGTTGTGGAGGCAGCCGACAAGAAGAGCAAGAAAACGAAGGCGGAAGAGGCACATGTGAACGCTGAAGCACCAGAAGACCCGGCATCGACGGCTGACGAGGCCGAAATTGTGAAAGAGGAGGCCCCTGCCTCACAAGAAAAGGAACCTTCCGTGGAACAAGAGGCTACGGAAACAGTAAGTGCAGTCCGAGAGGAGTTGCCCAAGGAAGAGGAGGAGGAGCTATCGGAACCAAAGGATGTGGTTGCTGCTGATGCTGTACCAGACGTGGAAGATAAGCGTGTGGAAAAAGAGCCACAGGAAGCCGTCGAAAACGTGGAAAAGCCTGGGGACGAGGAGGTGCCGGTAGCAGAGGTTGAAAATGAACTTGTTGAGAACAAGGAAGAGCCAGCAGAGGTGACAAGTGCAGCTGTCCAAGACAAGGAACCTCAGCAGAAAGAGGACGTGAAAGAGGAAGAAGATGAAGTTTCGGAGACAAAGACGGAAAAAGCGCTGGAGGATGATAAATCTGCCGACGATGAAAAGGCAAAAGAGGCGATTGCCGAAGTGAAAGAGAATGTGGAGGAGACAAAGGAAGAAAGTACGACGAAGGAAGAGATGCTGGCCACGGAAGCAGAGTCTGTCGGCACAGTGATTTCCGCGGCATTGGTGAAGTCTCTCAGGCAGCAGTCAGGAGCAGGCATGATGGACTGCAAAAAGGCTCTGGTGGAAACAAACGGAGATTTTGAGTTGGCCATCGAGTATCTGAGGAAAAAGGGGCTGGCTGGTGCGGATAAAAAGGCTAGCAGGATCGCCGCCGAGGGAGCAATCGGGAGCTACATTCATGACGGTCGGATTGGTGTCCTGCTAGAAGTCAACTGCGAGACAGATTTTGTGTCTAGGGGCGAGCTCTTCACGCAGCTGGTGGAGGACTTGGGAATGCAGCTGGCTGCATCTCAACAGGTTGAATACGTGTCTGTGGACGATATTCCGGCCGAGGTGAAGAGCAAGGAGTTCGAGATTGAGATGCAAAGGGAAGACATACAGAGCAAGCCCGAGGCTGTACGTGCCAAGATTGTGGAGGGACGAGTTGCGAAGAGGCTCGCGGAGCTAGCGCTGCTTGAGAAAACGTTCATCAAGAATGACAGTCTTCTCGTCAAGGATCTGGTTAGGCAGACAATTGCAGCCGTGGGTGAAAACATCCAAGTGAGGCGGTTTGCAAGATACATTGTTGGAGAAGGCCTTGAGAAACGCAGCTACGATATTGCAGCTGAAGTCGCTGCTCAAGCCGAAGCACAGGCACAGAAGGTCGTCGAAGCACCGGCCACGGAAAGCACCAGCGATAGCAGCGGCAGCTCCGAGACGGACAAGGATGCTCAAACCATCGCCATCTCGGCTTCTTTGGTGAAGCAACTACGGGAAGAAACAGGAACTGGCATGATGGACTGCAAGAAAGCTCTGGTAGCATGCAAAGGCGACTTTGAACAGGCGAAGGACTACCTGAGAAAGAAGGGACTGGCAAGTGCGGAGAAGAAGGCTGGGAGAATAGCGGCAGAAGGGATGGTGGTGAGCTACATTCATGCGTCACGTATCGGCGTGCTGGTGGAGGTCAACAGTGAGACGGACTTTGTGGCGAGGAACACAGTGTTTAAGGAGCTGGCCGACGATCTGGCGATGCAACTGGTCGCTTGCCCGCAGGTGGAGTACGTGTCTGTGGACGACATATCAGCTGACATCAAGGACAAGGAACGCGAGATTGAGATGCAAAGGGACGACTTGCAGAACAAGCCCGAGCAGATTCGTGCCAAGATTGTCGAGGGGCGCCTGAGCAAGCTGCTGGCGGAGAGAGCCCTGCTTGAGCAACCGTATCTCAAGGACGACACCAGGCTCGTCAAAGATGTGCTGCAAGCCAAGACGGTGAGCTTGGGCGAGAACATCCGCGTCCGGAGGTTTGAACGCTTTACGTTGGGAGAAGGCATCGAGAAGAAGGCTCACAATCTTGCCGAAGAAATCGCTGCGCTGAAGCCAGTGTGACTTCCAGGTTTCGCTCCTAATTTTTGTTGTCCTCGATGAATCTGTGTAGCCAACGTTTTGCATTGCAGTCCGAATGTGCTGAAGTGATCAACCAGGAACTTCCATTCCCCCGACGCTGCGTCGTAAGAAATGAAGTGTGAGCCTTGCCTCTCGGATTCATCCCTGAGCATCATCTCGAACTGCTGCTGCTGCTGCTGCTCTTGCTGTTCTTGGCCGTCTAGATTGTCGTTCCAGCGGATGTTAAACAGAGTAACTTCAGCTGGTTTATTGAGCCCGTCACCCACGCCAGGCTTTTTGCTCTCGTCCATGTAGACAATCACCTGGTTCTTGTCGAACTGGACAGCGTCGCACACGTCCAGCTCTCGCACATCTGTCCGGCCGATGAAGCGGATCTCCCCGTGCTGCTTGCGCCCGACTACAAAGTTGTCAACTCGGTGGCAGTATCCTCCCGGCGTGGAAAGGTGACGCTCTCGGATCTCCTCCGGGCTGGGCTGGATGTAGTAGTCTGAGCCCGTCACCTTGGGTGTTGGCACGAATGGCTCTGCTTCTGGTTCCGCTACTTGGTTGCTCGGACCCGGTTCACTGCTCTCGGGCATACTTAACGGTGGTGACGATGGTTCCACCGGAGTTTCGTGCTCGTTTGCTTGCGGCGGGATGAAGAGCGATCTTGGGTTCTTGGTTGCTCGCAGGAAAATTTCTGGAGGCGGCGGCTCGTCCCAGATTACTGGAGGTGCGGTGCGTGCTTTTGATCTGCTCGTCTGGAAGCGGCTGCGTAGAACTGGTCTCGATGGTAGAACCAGCAGAGGGGAGCCGGATCTGGTGCCAACGCTCGTCGGCGGAAAAGTGTTGCTGCTCTTGAAAGATATCTGCTGGGCGTGAGGGAGCTTTCCAAAGGGATGGCTGGATTTGAAGGTGAAAGAGCTCAGACTTGGCCTGCACATATCCACGCTTTTAAGTTTCGTAAGCAGGTTTCAGAGGTGAGTATATTGCTTGCTTGCGATCAGATCTAAAGCTTCACTTACAGTTGTTGCTGCTGCTGCTGCTGCTGGGGATGGCTTCGTGAATGGTCGTGTAAACTACGCTCGTCAGTTACCGTCGCCGGAGGAGGAGGAGCAGCACAAAAGACCAAAGGCTGCGAGCCAGAAGTGAGTATCTGGAAAGATAACTATGTAAAGCTTACCGTGATGAGCGGTAACGATGGTGGTGGTGACCATTGTGACGCCGGAACGAGGTAGTAAGTACCAGGAGGCAAAGCGCCTGCGATGCCTTTGGTGCTTGGCGATGGTGTGGGAAGCGATAACGGATCGGCAAGCATGGGATCACCGCGGCAGTAGCAATCCCATCGGATTTCCTCGTGGCTCTTGTTCCTGTAGAAGCTCATGGCCGAGATGGACAGGATGGTGAATCCTGTCTCAGGATCAAGCGTTGGGCAGTAGTACAAGGTAGCACCGCTCGCGTTGAGCTCCTGGATCTGCATCTGATCATCTGTGAGCTCCAATGATCAGCAAGTTCTAAGCTGCTCGCATCCATCCATGAAGTAAGTTTTTGGTTTGGATGGTTGATTATCTTACCTGGGCTGAGTGCTCCCGCGTGATCGATCAATCCAGGCGGGCTGCACGATGGTGGCCAGTCCTGTTGATTCCCCGAGTTGTAGAGACCGAGTGGCTGTCTCGCCATATGCTGCTGCTCAAGGACAACTCCGGCCGGCTTCATGACTTGTCTGTGCGAGGAGAAAAAGTTGCCGCGATTGATACTTGGATGCTGCTGCTGCTGAATCCATGGCGCAGCTCCTACACTCGATCTGGGTGTGGTCGTCATTGGGACGTCATCAGTGTTGTTCCAAGAAAATGGGGAGTTCATTGCCGCTCCATAGCGCTGCCCGTGCGATCTGTTACCGCCATAGCCGCCATAGCCGCCATTTCCATTGCCATAGCCATAGCCATAGCTGCCTACCATCGCCGCTTTGCTTCACATCTAGGTTTTGTGAAGTTTTGAATTTTGAATCGCAACAGGCGCCAAGAATTTTAATGACGTGGCAACCGGCGGCAGACGTGGCTGAATGACTGAAACAAAAAGCTTCTCCAATTGCTATTGCTTGGAATTAATTTCGTCAATAGCTATCTCTGGTATTGGTTATGCTGGGATCCTTCGGTGCATCGCGACGTAAGTTTCTTGCTCGCCGAGACATCCTCCGTGGTTTAAGTCTCTCTGTTGATCGATCCAGGATGGCGCCGAGAAGTAGATGAGCACCGAGCGGCGTTATAAGCTGCTGGGGGTCGAGAAGATTATCCAGAAGCGATGGAAGGACGCCAGACTTTGTTTCCCTGGTCCATTGTTGCACTTACTGGAACATTAACTCCAAGCCCTCTACAGTATGTGGCAGCTACTGAGCAGATTGCTGGCATTCTTGCTTCAAGCATCGTGCAGGCCAAAGTTCCTGCTGTGATCTGCTCACGAATAGAGTGGTGAATCGCGCATGCAGATTGATTGTCAGAATAACTCACTGTAGGTTCTTCTTGCTGCTGCTGCACACCGGCTAGAAGATCATGAAGCCCCACGGCCTCTTGAGCAGCCAGCGTCAAGGCTGTGTCACAGCAATACCATCGCTGCACACTGTCTTTGCTTCACATCTAGGTTTGCTTAATCAAGCTCAATGGCTATGGCCGACTCTATCTCCACCGAGAGACTTTGGCTAGTAGGATAGAATGCCATTGGTTATGGGTATCGAACCCCTGACCATCGTAGGTGCATTGCCAGTGAGAATTAGGGTTTACGAGAACGAGAGCTTCACTGTGCTGCGGCGGCTGCGACGGCAACACGGGAGGCTCTCTACGTCGGATCCTTCGCTGCATCGCGACGTAAGTTTTCTTTGCTCGCCAGGAGATCCTCCGTGGTTTGAGTCGCATTTTCTGTGTCCATCCAGGATGGCCAGCGATGGCGCCGAGAAGAAGATGAGCACCGAGCGGCGTGACAAGCTGCTGGGGATCGAGAAGATTATCCAGAAGCGATGGGAGGACGCCAAGATCTTTGAGGTCGATGCGAGCGACGAGCCGCCCAAGCCCGGTGAGAAATATTTCGGGAATTTTCCATACCCGTACATGAATGGGGTCCTTCACTTGGGCCACGCGTTCTCGCTCTCCAAGCTAGAGTTCTCCGCGGCGTTCCAGAGGCTTTGTGGCACGAAGGTGCTGCTGCCAATGGGATTTCACTGCACAGGGATGCCGATCAAGGCTTGTGCCGATAAGCTGGTCCGCGAGAGCGAAGAGTTTGGGTGTCCTCCAGTGTTTCCTACCGAGGTGACGGACGAAGCTCCAGCTCCAGTTGCGAACAAAGAAGAGGTTCCAGTGGAGGTGAAATTCAAGGCCAAGAAAAGCAAGGCTGTGGCAAAGTCCGGTGCTTCCAAGTATCAGTGGACGATCATGAGGTCTTTGGGTCTGGAAGACGATGAGATTGCCAAGTTTCGGGATCCACTCTACTGGCTGGAGTACTTTCCGCCCATCGCCAAGAACGACTTGAAAGTCTTTGGGCTAAGCTGTGACTGGAGACGCTCTTTCATCACCACAGAGGCGAATCCTTACTACGACTCCTTCGTAAGGTGGCAGTTTGAGCACTTGCGTGAGAAGAAGAAGGTGGGCAAGGATTTGAGGTATGCCATCTATTCTCCTCTGGACAGGCAGCCTTGTGCCGACCACGATAGAGCTTCCGGCGAGGGTGTGGCTCCTCAAGAGTACGTACTTATCAAAATGGAGGTCCAGCCTCCTTTCACGGGGAAACTCAAGGCTTTGGAAGGGAAGAAGGTTTTCTTGGCAGCTGCCACCTTGAGGCCGGAGACCATGTATGGTCAGACGAATGCATGGGTTCTGGCAGACGGTGACTACGGTGCTTATGAAGTCAGTGCGACGGAAGTTTTCGTGGTGACGGCTCGGGCTGCCTTAAACATGGCTTATCAGAACTTGTCACGGGTCCCGCAGCAACCAACGTGCCTGGTGGAACTTAAAGGACAGGACTTGATTGGTTTGGCGGTTGTTTCTCCGCTTGCAAAGAATCCGGTGGTTTACGTGCTGCCGATGCTGAATATCAAGACGGACAAAGGTACTGGCGTCGTGACAAGTGTGCCAAGCGACTCTCCCGACGACTACATGGCGCTCTCGGATTTGAAGTCGAAGCCTGCGCTGCGGGCGAAGTTTAACGTCCAAGACGAGTGGGTGCTACCTTTCGAAGTCCTTCCGATCATCAACGTTCCGGAATTCGGGGACAAGTCGGCGGAAGCGGTCTGCATCAGCATGAAGATCAAGAGCCAGAACAACCGGGATGATCTGGAAGCTGCGAAGAAGATGACTTACTTGAAGGGGTTCACAGACGGGAAGATGCTGGTCGGTGACTATGCCGGAATGAAAGTCCAGGAGGCGAAGCCGCTGATCAAGAAGCTGCTGGTGGAATCAGGCCAAGCCGTTATCTATAGCGAGCCCGAAAAGAAAGTGATATCGAGGTCAGGAGACGAATGTGTGGTGGCCTTGACGGACCAGTGGTACTTACAGTATGGCGAGGAGGAATGGAAGTCACAGGCGGAAAAATGCCTGACGCAGATGGAGCTCTACAGCGACGAAACGAGGCGCTTGTTCGAGCACGCTCTTGGATGGCTGAACCAATGGGCCTGCTCGCGTTCTTTCGGGCTGGGCACAAAGTTTCCTTGGGACCAGGACTTTTTGATCGAGTCGCTGTCGGATTCCACCATCTACATGGCGTACTACACGCTGGCACATATCTTACAGGAGGGGGACTTGTATGGCAAAGGTGATCATGCTGTGAAGCCCAATCAGATGACGAGGGATGTCTGGGACTTCGTATTTGGCATGGGACCTCTTCCAGAGAGCGAGATTCCGGTTGAAACTCTGAAGAGGATGAAGAAGGAGTTTGATTACTGGTATCCGTTCGACTTGCGCGTCTCTGGGAAGGATCTCATCCAGAACCACCTGACTTTTAGCATCTACAATCACACCGCCATGTTCCCGGAGGAGAGGTGGCCTCGTTCGTTCCGGTGCAATGGTTTCCTGCTGCTCAACGGGGAGAAGATGGCCAAATCGACAGGGAACTTCCTCACCATTCGGGACGCTGTAAGTGACTTCTCGGCAGATGCAACGAGGTTTGGCCTGGCGGACGCTGGAGACTCGGTCGACGATGCAAACTTCGTCAAGCTGACAGCAAACTCGGCCATCCTGCGCCTGACCAAGGAGATGGCCTGGATGAGCGACGAGGTCATTGCTGCTGAAAAGGATCTGAGGAAGGGATCCCCCACTACATTCGCAGACCGCGTATTCGAGAACGAGATCAACATTGCTATCAACCAGACGGAGAGGAACTACAAGGCTCTGATGTTCCGTGAGGCGCTCAAGTCGGGTTTCTACGATCTCCAGATAGCCAGGGACGAGTACCGGCTGGCGTGCTCCTCCTCGGGCATGAACAGGGACTTGATCTTCAGGTTTGCAGACGTCCAGACGCGGCTACTGACTCCAATTTGTCCGCACTACGCCGAATACGTCCGATCGGAGATCTTTCACCAGGAAGGATTTGCAGTGACGGCAGGCTGGCCAGCCTC